TCCTGAGATGAAATACTGTAAAATTACGTGTCTTTAGAGACACCAAACGGAGGCACTGAAAATAACACCTAACTCAAATAAAACCAGAAAATTCTCAACAGAGAGGACTGTTCCCTGTTTTGCAGTACTTTGTTCAAATTCATGGACACAGGACATATGGTTTGCCGTTAAGCTTAATGGCATTCTGAACTAAAGTTACCCCATTGCCTTTCTTCTCCTACTATAACAACTTCTGAACTAAAGAAAGTTGTATTCAATAACACAACATTGAAACTGTTATTCATTAATATTTTCAGTGTATCAGCTCCTATAAAGAAAGGGTGAATGTGGTGATTTATAAAATGCCCTTACAAGCCCACGGGACATTCTGGAAGTCTCACTTTATTCTGCACTTTCCCAGGAGACACCAAAGAAACGGTCCAAAAGCAGAGAAGTGACTAGCCCGAGACCCTCACTTTTCCTGGAGTATTATGGGACAAGACACATCATGTCTCACTGCTTTGCCCTCTAACTATTTAGTGGTTTTTATAAGCTAGGCAAATCAAGTTTAATCTGTCTTCTAAACTCCCCAAAACACAATGTATTGCACCAACCACAACAAAATTGAGCCACTTGGTTTCTCTTGACAAAGCTGTTCCATGTGACTGAGATAGGAAAGAGAATATCACACCTACATTTCCACCTCATTTCATATGAGCTTAAGAACTTGGACTGCTGTAGGTTATCTGATGCAAGATAAATGCAGCGTTGTGAAGAATCATGCCCTTATTTTCTTCTCAAGATTGTTTTATTCATATTTAAAATGAACATATATGCCACGTCAATAACCATTCCTTTTTCAACATAAATCAAGTTTGCAGAAACAAATTAGACTTACAAGAATTCCTCTAACAAAACAGTACAAAGTGCTTTGTTACTGGATAAACTCATTCACCACTGAGGAAAAGACTGATTCTCAATAATGTGATTTAGGCTGCAAGGTATCACTGAAGATGGCAGTGGCACAAAAGTGTAGTTGGAGACATGTCACTAGTGGTGTACCCTAGGGGTTGATACTGGGGCTAACGCTGTTTAACATCTTCATTAATGACCTGGACGAAGGGGCAGAGTGCACCCTCAGCAAGTTTACAGACAATACAAAAGCAGGAGGAGTGGCTGATACACCAGATGGTCGTGCCATCATTCACAGGGACCTGGACAGGCTGGAGAACTGGTGCCAACAGGAACCTCATGAAGTTCAACAAAGGGAAGTGCAAAGTCCTGCACCTGGTCAGGAATAACCCCATGCATCACTACATGCTGGGGGCTGATCAGCTAGAAAGCATCTTTGCCAAAAAGGACCTTGGAGTCCTGGTGGACAAGAACTTGAACATGAGCCACCGATTTACTCTTGCAGAAAGAAAGGCCAACAGCTTTCTGGGTTACATCAGGAAGAGCACTGCCAGTAGGTCAACAGAGGTGATCCTTCCTCTCTACTCAGCACTGGTGAGGATGCATCTAGAGTACCATGTCCAGTACTGGGACTGGACTTCCCACTACCAGAAAGACATGGACTTAGTGGAGCAAGTCCAGCACAGGGCCATGAAGAGGATTAAGGAGTATCTTTACACGAGGAGCTGCTGAGAGAGCTGGGACTGATCAGCTTGGATAACAGAAGGCTCAGGCTCAGATAAGATGGCTCTCACCAACATGTATAAATACTTGATGGGAGGGAATGAAGAAGAGGGAGCCAGACTTCCTAGTAGTGTCCACCAACAGGACAAGAGACAATGGGTACAATTTAAAACCCATGTGATTCTAACAGAACACAAGAAAATAGGGGGTTTTTACTGCAAGGGAGGTCAAACACTGGAACAGGTTGCCCAGAGAGGTTCTGGAGTCTCCATCTGCAGAGATATTGGAAACACACCTGGACACAGTCTTGGACAACCTGCTTTAACTAACCCTGCTTGAGCAGGGGCCTTGGACTAGATGACCTCAAGAAGTACCTTCCAACCTAAACAATTCTGTGGTTCTGTGAAGATGATGTAAGAAGTCTGAGAACCTATGCTGATAGCTAAGGCGCTAGGCTAGGAAGGCACTTGTGTTTAGTCCCCTGCTCTGCCAGACTTCTTTTTCATAAACCAAAGCATTTATTTTAGTTACTAGTTACGACAATCTGCCTAACTCAGATCCTGGAAGGACAAGCATACAAACAATCTAAAGAAAAGCTCTTTCCATGACTTAGTATAAGAATAAACTGTATGAGGCATTCTGCTTTCTTTTCTTCCTATGAATTGTCTGGTTAGCCAACTTCTGAAATAGGATACAGAACCAGTTGGGATGCAAGGTTATTTCTTTATGGCACTTTTTATTTAAATGTGTGCATTTACTGTTGAGGAGAATAAAGAAAGGACAAAACATATGACCGTTTATGTATGTTTTCCATTACATTGCAGCCTAATTTATTCAGGTGAAAAAAAAAAGTCACACTACAGAGAGAAGAATAGAGAGAAACAAAGACAGATACCAGAGTTTGCTGCTGTATATGCAACCGCAATTGTTTATTATCAGTGTGTAAATTTTGTACATGGTAAGCTTTAATAGGAATAGAGTATGGGACTTCACTCTACAATAGCTAACTCACATATTACTGCAACTGATATTTACATTTTAAAATCAGATGAAGAGCTAAGTGCACGAAAACACATTAAAGAAATCATAAAAAGTTGTAAAAGTACCAGAAAGAAAAGCCATTACATAATGCAGCATTTCATGGGCCACTGGCTTGTTTTACTACATGTGTGCTTTGATTGTCTACACCTGAAAAGTGCATTAATGGCCCATCAGGAAAAGGCACTGAAACTTGGGAGCTAACAGACTGCACCCAATGCCTATGCCTGAAATATCTAGAAATGGCCCAAGTCTGGCTGTTTCCCTGATTAAAATGTACACATTCCAATTTTTAACAACATCATAATGCTCCAAGCAGTCCACTTCCCGGAAAGATTTGTATTTCTCAAGTGATTAAAATCACTCTGTCTTTGGACGTCTCTGAGACCATCACAAAGGTGTGCTGTAATATAATCATCCAGAAATGCACTGCCTATGGTGCCTCATCAATGAAGTAACAGAGCATCTGTGCCAGAATCAGCCTTTTAGTTGAAATGGAAAGTGTAAGAAAGCCTGGGGCTGCAGGCAGAACATGTGAAATTACAGCACCAATATAGTATTTATAAAATAAAGTGACTTTTTTACTATTTACAAGATCAACATAGGAACAGCTGTAAGTTGGGGTCATCTACTGTTGCTGTGCTGCTCTGAATGCTCACCATGTATTAGAAAAATTAAACTTAGGATGGATAAACTGCACAGAAGATCAATCAGAGCCCTTCTAGAGAAACTGCAGGAAAGAGATGAATGTTCCCATGTGCTACCTAGCATGGAGGTGTTGGCACTGTTAAGACAACATTGCAGTTGAACAGAATAGAACACACTATCTCTGAGACAAGGTTAAGTGCAGAAGCCACATGAGGAAGTAGCCCCTAGAATGGGAGATTCCAAAACAAAAGTAGTAAGAACTCTACTGTCACTGTGCATACCACCTTCACAAGTAATCCCAGATGTTCCTACTTGAGTGGATGCTTTTGTGAGTGGTGGACAAATACATCCTTGGCCATGCTGAGAGGACTAGCAACACTGACAACCCCTTTTCAAGCAACCAAAACCACAGATGTGCCACTGCCACACATGTTAATGAAAAAGCTATCCTTCCTTAGACTCACCCCTAGCCCCAGGAGCTCCACCATCCACTACACAACTTGCAAGAAGAGGAAGTTGATGCCAGAGCCCAAACTAAAGATTAAAAAAAGTCAGTGCTCAGAATATCCAGCCATGTTCCTTCCTCTCTCTGCCTAAAGAGTAAGACATACCAAGAGCAATAATCAAAGTTGTTGTTTGGTAACAGGAGAATGCTATTGGTAATACAGGTACAACTCTATAAGCACACACATCTGTGTCATCTACATACCACTGTCAGAAAAAACAAGTAGCAGATTACATCATTCTCATACAGCATTCATAACTTTTCAATGGAAAGATTCAAAAGTCAAACCTTTATTACCCACTGCGATAACCTGTTCTTAGCCTTGTTAACCTTCTAGTTATCCAGTACCATGGGAATACACAGCAATACACATAACGCCCCTGTCAGAAAAAGCCCAAGACAGCATTGGAAGCAGGCCTTGCAGACGTGCAGAATACAGTCTCAAGAAACGCATAGGAAGATGGGAAGGCCAAGAAGCCAAGGCTTGCTGCAGTAGTGCTTAAGGCAGAGAAAGTAACGCTAAATTTGTAAAACATGGATGGGCACAGATGTAGCATAAAAGTAAAGACACTAATTAGAGCACTGAGACTAGATGATATGGACTGTTTTCAGCCCTACTCTTGATATGTTACATGACTTGGTGCTAGTCCACTGTTCTTCCATTTCCCTCCCCACTCTTTGTCTACATCATCTGCGTATGTTGGAAGCTAATGAGATCAGAGTCTACCTCTGCCTGCACCACGAGTAGCTCAGTACGGTTCAGACCCTGACTGGACCTTCTACAGGTAATACACCTACATTAGCCTACTGTCAATGTGCTGAATATAAAAATAATGGGAGGCTTATACAGACCAGAGGGAACAGGGGATAACACAGGAAAAAATGGAAGTAGAAACATAAGCAGGAGTGATACTCTTTCTAAGATGAATACAAAATGAAGGAAGGTCTATGGAGAACTGGATGCTAGGATTTAAAAATAGGGTATCACTGATATCACTGGCAAATCTTCCAGTGACATCGTCTCATTGCAGTTACTTATTTAATTAGCATATCACATTACCTTACATGCTTGATATTAAACTCAGAATAGTGTGAACAGACACCATGGAAAAATCAAATTAACTTGTACTAAACAATATAAAAGTGAAAGTTGTCAGTAAAGCATCATCAAAACACATACAAACATTAAGTTTACCTCAGCTCCTAAACTGAGAGAGATTATTTCATCCTCAAAAGCGGAATGTGTATCAATATGAGGAGGAATTCCTGCATAAGAAAAAAAACAAACAAGCCAGTATAATAATAATAGAGTGGTATCTCTGTTAGCAAGCTCTGTTTCTGTGGATGTCCATATAGAAAACTGGGATGTACAGCTGAACAAACAAAACTTATCATAAAGGAGGGAGTTACCTTCCAAAAGAATTCAGGACAATTGTCCAATTTACATGCCCAGATTAGATGCACACAGTTAACACAAGTGTCCGGTATAACTAGCGGAAATATTTAGAAGACAGTTCAGAGCACCCAAAGGCCTCACTCACCCTCTGAAGACTCCAAATGCTCTTCTTGCTGCAGAGAGCACCTGAAATCACTATGCTCTCCCCTGTCGTGGTTTAACCTCAGCAAGATCTCACCGCATGGTAGGGAACTGTAGCCAGCGGAGGAGCAAGGCCAGCAAACAGCTCGAGAGAACTGTAACTATGCCTTCCTTTGACACCATAGCAGGCCCAGACAGATAGGGTAACTCTTATGTGATCCAAACCAAAACAGTTATATTTGCTTATTAAAAGCTCTACCCACATTCATTTTGGACACTATCAAATTTCTGAGCTGAAAACGTTTTTTCCTAATAATGTCAGTCAGCACCATAAAGTATCCTTATTATATGCCAGATTTTACCTCCAGATGTAAATATTCTGAATTCCAATAGTTTCAATGAAAGCAATACAAGCGTTTTATGAGGCCAATATTTAATGATAGAAAATCAGCGAGTCTTGAAAACCCAAGGACACATATCTGTGTTTGCTCATAACCTTGCCTCGGTATAAAGCACTGAAACTCTGCCTTCAGATGTGCACTGAAGTCAGTGCAATTCAGTATGCAACAGGAGAACATCGACTGCTCTCTTCAGCATCACCCAGACAATTCAATCAAGACCACACTAACCTACCTACCTGCTGTTCATAATCCATATATGCAGCACATAGTAAGAGACAGTCACCTAAGCATTCAAAAGTGGATGGTAACTTTCAAGCATAATCTACAACTTTAAACATTATTAGGACCCTGAATGAAAAAAGTGCCCTCAAAAAGGAATTCATTTAATGTGTCTTAAGTGTGGCCACTACAGCTTAGATACCCAAAGTCATCAGTCATTACACTTTTTAAAATCTCAAGTCTAATTTCCAGTGACAACCTGGCTTGGAACACAGATACTAAAGGTATTAATGTGACTGCACTCTGTGCTCATTCATATCCTAGCGATTTGCACTTAAGAAAGGGTATTTTGCCTTGGGCATTTTTTTTTTTTTTAAAACTGCTTCTATTCTTGATAGAAATCTACAATTCTAACTAATCTCCTCTAATGTCCCAGCCAGAAGTACATGACTGTATCAACTTAACAGATTGCCAGATACATAAATAAATAGGCTCAGCTTTTCAGACCCCTGTTTGGCAAACACTGTGTTAGCTGTCAGACATTAATTCTGAAAGAAAAGCTGTTGTCCCTTCTTCCTAAGGACAAATGAGATATCCACTCTAGAAAGGAAGCCAGATACTTAGCCTTGATGATTGACCTTCGCAAAAAGCACAGCATGTGATTTATTTCCTGGAGGTGTGATTAGAAGCAAATTTCTCTTTAGAGTCTCCAGTTTGGGCAAGATTATAGAAATAGAATAATTTCTTATTCCTCAGATAAGGGAACACTGATTGCATCATTCTTAAGAGTCCATATATCACGTATACTAACATTATATCATGTACTAAGAGCAAGAGCCGTTTCCTAGAGACTGCATGCACAGTACAGGGAGCAAGAAGAATTTGGAGTGAAAAAAATGCACTTGAGTACAAAACCAAATATGACTATTTATTCCTGCATCTTTTTATGTTTAGTTTCCATGTTATGGCCTTGGACTCAAACACCATCAATTTCCTTCACAGTAGTATCAAGAAATGTACTTCCAAACACAAGCTCCCAGGTTCAGAAACCAGTACGAAGACTTTAGTTTTGATTCAAAGCATTCCTGGTCACAAAGGAAATACACAAAGCAGGTGCTTAAATCCTGTCCCTACACCATGTCACATTTAGAATCATAGAATCATTGAGGTTGGAAAAGACCTCTAAGATCATCGAGTCCAACCGTCGACCCAACTCCACCATGCCCACTAAACCATGTCCCTAAGTGCCTCATCTACACATCTTTTAAATACCTCTAGGGATGGGGACTCCACCACTTCCCTGGGCAGCCTGTTCCAATGCTTGACAACCCTTTCAGTAAAGAAATTTTTCCTCATGTCCAATCTAAACCTCCCCTGGCGCAACTTGAGGCCATTTCCTCTCGTCCTATCGCTTGTTACTTGGGAGAAGAGACCAACACCCACCTCGCTACAACCTCCTTTCAGGTAGCTGTAGAGAGCGATGAGGTCTCCCCTCAGCCTCCTTTTCTCCAGGCTAAACAACCCCAGTCCCCTCAGCCGCTCCTCAG